AGGAAAGAGAGAGTGAACTAGTTTTTACTAAAGGCCAGTGGAAGTCTCTATCATTGTACCTGGCGTACTGCATGATTAATGCCCCTGTTTGGGGAGTGATGGAAGTTCAGCAGGAAATACCTTCTATTTGTGGAAAAGTAATGTTACACTGAGGAGTGCTATCAGGCACCTTATGAGTGATGAATTTGAGCAGAGCCAGCGTAGGGGAGTTCTAGCCTTTCTTTTGCTCAGTGAGGATGCACCACATGTAATAGATCAACCGTGGTAGTTCATGTTAGTGTTTTCTCCCTGACGGGTATGCCAGGTTTTCATGTGCTTGGCCATCAAGCACCCAAGTCAAGGTTAGTCCAAGGAATGCCCCAAACCATATAGCTCCACATCCCAGGCTTCTTAAACCACTCAAACCTGTTGTCCTTAAGCCCCTACTGGAATGTGTGCCAATTAACACAGGATCTCAGAACCATACAGCTCAGGATCCCCAGAGGGTCAAGAATGTTCCAGAGAATTCCATCTGGGACCTGGCATTGCACCCCATGCCTGCTTCTGTATGTATTCTTGCATTCAGTTATTGTTAGAAAGATTTACTGGTTGTATTTTGAAACCTTTATTTCCCTTATTAAACCCTCTTTTTCAGAACTACATTGTCATTGTAAAATATTTTTACTTTCATTTTATGTATTTAGCAAATGCATACATATTGTACATAGTATATTATTAAAATATATTGTGTATTATAGATATATTAATTATTTTGTAATTAATTATATAAAATCATTTAATCTTCATAATAACACAGTGATGTATAGGTGCTCTCACTAGCCCCATTTTACAAATGAGAAAACTGAGACACTAATACGCTAAGTAATGTATCAAGATCATATAGCTGGTAAGTAGCTACACTAGGATTTGAACCCAGTCAGTCTGGTTCCAGAGTGCTTGCTCTTTACCACTATTAAAATTAAAAAAAAAATGTAAAGCAAAAAAATAGTTAAAGACAACTATAGAGATATCACCTCACACTCTTTATGCTATACATAACCTTCCACATAACTGAGCCTAGTCACCATATTGAATTTTGTAATGCTTTTATTAAAACTTGACCTTGTAATCACCTTTCCATGTTGTTGAAAACTCCTTGTTTGAGTTGAACCCACACCTGTGGCTTCCAGCCAAACAAAAGACAGGATATGAGTTGAACATGTACCTGAGATAGATACACTCCTTGGAGAGAACAATCATGGGAGAAAGAAGGGCTGTGTATGCACAGGGAGACAGTTCAGGGGGCAGGAGTGCATGGAAGGATGGACACAGGGAAGAGGTAACTATTGGGAGGAAGTGGGAGGGGAGCTGTTGCATTGGGGTAAATCGTAGTCGATGTCATGAGACAATGTGTGTGTGAACTGCTGCTGTATGGAAAGTGAATTTGCTCTGTAAACTTTCACCCAAATCACAATTTAAAAAAATTAAAAATTAAAAAAACTCCTTGTTTGTAAATATTGTTTCAGTGACTACATGCTGTTTCTATCATGCACATGTGCCACTGTTTACTTAGCCATTCTTTCATGGCTGGCCATTGTGGCTCTCCATTGTTCTACTCTGATGACTAGTTCTGTGACAACTGTTTTTGGGCAGAATTTTTTCTCTTCTTCAGAACCTGCTTTTAGGATACATTCTCAGAAGTAAAATCCCTGAGTATAAGAGCATGAGTACTTTTGAGGTTCTGGAGCAGTTAAGCATGTTCTTTGATGATGTTTATAGCCACCGTAGACTAGACCTCCCAGCCAAGAGGTGTCTGAGCAGCTACACAGTCTGCTTTGAGAAAACTGATGAGAAGGCTTTGGGGCTGGATGTGCTATGTAGCCTATTTTACTTAAAGAGAACTGAGAAGATCCAAATAGCACCTCTCCTATCCCTTGATGGAGACCCTAAATGGTACAAACAGTTAATGCACTTGGCTGCTAGCCAAAAGGTTGCAGGTTCGAGTTCACCCAGAGACATATCAAGAAAAAAGCCACTGAAAACCTTCTGGAGTAGTTAGTTCTACTCTGAAACATGTGGGATCACCAGGAGTCAGAGCTGACTTGAGGGCACTGTTTTTTCCCCCCACATGTTGATAGGCCTGTCAGGTTTCTTTAATGAGGGATAAAACCTTCCATGTTTCCGAAGAGTTGGTACTAGAAGAGGAAGGCACACAAGACTAGGTCTAGAGTCTGTGAACTAATTTACCATGTTCCCATCATCTAATGGCCCTGGAACTTGGGCCCTTCCTCTACAATACCTCTTTTTCCATCAAAGCCAGAATTGTAATAATGATAGCTGACATATGCAAAGCATTTTAAAGTGTTATATATGGCCTTCCTTATCCAGTCCCTCACTCATTTTTTCCCAGTCACCCTGGGAGGTAGACAAGAACATTTATACATTTACAGTTGAGGAAACAGACAAAGTGACAGGCAGACTTCAAGAGCAGCAGAGCCCATTTCTCTCTCTATCCTTGCAGTACAGGATTCAGATTTCAGTATGTATTTTTAAAAGCATCTACTCCAAGAAAGTAATCTTTTGACTTAAATTTATCTTGAGGAGAGAAGGGAGAAGGGAAAGAAATACAGTGTGTCAGGGAACATGTGGAGGATCATAGAAAAAAGCCACGTAGGACAAAAAAAAAAAAAAAAAAAAAACTTCATTGAATGAGAAAAAAATTGAAAGTGAGTGTAGAAAAACACTTTGCAAAATGTTGAGAATTATTTTCAAATATTAGGTAATTTTGTTCTCCATATTCCTGTATTATATTATTTATTCTTTTCCAGTTTTCTCATTTACTGCATAGTTCAACAAAAATTAGATAAATTGGAGTATATCCAACTATAGAATATTGTGTACCTATTCCAAATAATGAGGAAGACAGAATGTGTGTGTGTGTGAGTGTGTCCATTTGTTGGAAGGGCAGATGGTAGATAGATCTATGTTGCTTCCCCCATCTCCAGGTAAAAGCTCAGGTGGCACAGTGGTTAAAGCACTGCTGTCAAGTTGATTGTGACTCATAGCGACCCCTCCTTGGGTATCCAAGGTGGTATCTCTATGGAAGTAGATTATGCAACCTTCCTTCTGAGGAGTGGCTGATGGGTTTGAACTGCCAGCCTTCTGGTTAGTAGTCACATGCCTTAGGCACTAGAATCCAATATTGCAACTCAAGATTGATTTTTTTCTTGAGTTCTTTCAGCTTGAGAAAAGCTAATGTGTTCTTCCCTTTTGGTTTCCTGACTCCAGGCCTTTACACATTTCATTATAATAGTTTGCTTTGTCTTCTTGAGCTGCCTTTTGAAATCTGTTGAGTTCTTTTACTTTATCATTTTTTCATTTGTTTTAGCTACTCTATGTTCAAAAGCAAATTTCAGAATCTCTTCTGACATCCATTTTGGTCTCTTTTCTTTCATTCTTGACTTTTTAATGACCTTTTGCTTTTTTCATGTATGATGTCCTTGATGTCATCCCACAGTTCATTGGTCTTCAGTCATTAATGTTCAATGCATCACATCTATTCTTGAGATGGTTTCTAAGTTCAGGTAGGATATACTTAAGGTTGTGCTTTGGCTTTCATGGGCTTATTTTCATTTTCTTCATCTTCATCTTCAGTGTGCTTATGAGAAATTGATGGTCTGTTCCACAGTCAGCCCCTGACCTTGTTCTGATTGATGATATTGAACTTCTCCATGGTCTCTTTGCAAAGATATAATCAGTTTGATTCCTATGTATTCCATCCAATGAAGTACACATGCACAGTCGCCATTTATGTTGTTTGTTGTTGTTGTTGTTGTTATGTGCCGTCGAGTTGGCCCCCGACTCATAGCGACCCCTCCTTGGGTTTCCGAGGCAGTATTACTACGGAAGTAGGATTGCCTAACCTTCCTTCCGAGGAGTGGCTGGTGGGTTTGAACCTCCAGCCTTCTGGTTAGCAGTCAAGTGCTTTAGCCACTATGCTACCAGAGCTCCCATTATGTTATGTTGTTTAGAGAAGTTATTTCCAATGAATAGGTTGTTGGTCTTGCAAAATTCTATCATGCAGTTTCTAGCATCATTTTTATTACCAAGGCCATGTTTTCCAACTACTGGTCCTTCTTCATTCTAATCACCAGTAATTATCAATGCATCTTGACTGCATGTTTTATTAATTTAACACTATAGAAGTTGGTAAAAGTCTTTAATCTCTTTACCTTAGTCATCAGTGGTTATTGCATAAATTTGAATAATGGTCATATTAACTGGTCTTCCTTGTAGGAATGTGGATATTATTCTATCACTGACAGCACTGTGCTTTTGGATAGATCCTGAAATGTTCTTTTTGATGATGAATGTGACACCATTCCTCTTCAATTTGTCATTTCTGTCATAGTAGACCATATGATTGCCCTTTCCAAAATGGCCAGTACCAGTCTATTCCAGCTCACTAATGATTATGATATTGATTTTTATGTGTTCCATTTCATCTTTGATGATTTCCAATTTTCCTAGATTCATACTTTGTACATTTCACATTCTGATTATTAATGGATGTTTAGAGCTGTTTCTTCTAATTTTGAGTCATATTACATGAACAAATGAAGGTCCTGAAAGCTTTACTCCATCTACATCATTAAGGTTGACTCTACCTTGAGGAGGCAGCTCTTCCCCAGTTGTATCTTGAGTCTTGAGTATCTGCCAACATGAGGGGCTCATTGCCCAGGACTATATCAGACAGTGGTCTGCTGCTATTCAAAAGGTTTTCACCAGCCAGTTTTTTTTTTTTTTTTTTTTAGAAGTAAATCACCAGATCCTTCCTCTTAGTCTGTCTTGGTCTGGAAGCTCTGCTGAAACCTGTCCACTGTGGGACCCTGCTGGTATTTGAAATACCAGTGGCATAGCTTTTAGCTTCACAACAACACAGAAGCCACCACAGTACAACAGATTGACAGACAAGTGGTACTTTTGCTCTAAAGTAGCTCAATCCCTTGCTTGCATTTCAGGATTTTATGGGCAGCTGCAGACATTCTGCCCCCCGCATTACCCCGACTCCCAGAGAGCCGTGCCGCCCAGCAGCTCCTGCAGTGTGGTGCCCTCCTTCGAGGACTCCCTGGTCCCTACCTCTATGGGCCAGGCTGGTTTTGATGTTTTCCACAGAGCCTTCTCAACTCACTCGGGCATTACAGGTGTGTTGGCCAGACTGACAGGGGAGAGCGGTAGGTTTCCTGTGACCAGCCTGGTCTGGGGTTAATTCTCAGCACATGAATGCATAAAATCCTGTCAAATAACCCCTGAAATGTCTCTCATCTTCATTTACTTGTCCAGGCCTTCTCCAACTCCACTTCTACCACCCTAGTTTGGGCACCATTTTATCTCTCCCAAACTGTGTCAAAAGCCTTCCAGCAAGTCTGCCTAAAGGACTCCTCATCTTTACCACTTTAACATCATACTACTGTGAACATTGTCTTCCAAACATGAAAAATAAAATATGCTACTTTTCATGCTCACATTCCTTCAATAGTTTCAGCTGCATAGAGAATAAAGTCCAATCTCCTCAACATAGTGTTCAAAGTCTCCATGAGTCACACTTGATCAGGCTTTCCCGCTGTCAGCACACTTGCCTCTCAACCCCACCATTTGTCTCCTTCTCTGTCTTTATGCCCTACTTTCCTCATTCTGGAATATTCTTTCCCTATATCTCTATCTGTGGGAATCCCATCCTCTTTTACAACTCAACATGAGAGCACCTCCTTTTTGAGGCCATCCTCATCCTTCCCTAGAACACTTTACTTTCACCTATTCAGCCTATATTTTCTGCCCCATCTTATGTTAGACAGCCACCAACAAGTCAGGCTCCTCCTCCACTAACGTCCTTGAAGGCAGAGACCTGATGAAGAACGCATTGCAGCATGGTTCCTCCTTGGTCCCCATCAGCATTTGGTGAATACATTGCAACCACTGTGGGCCCAGTGGGTGTGGTACAGCGGGAATCTGATTTCTTGTCTTCTTTCTCTTCTAGTGTGTGATTTGCCTTCGGGTTCCTCAAGCCTCTTTGCAGAGTCCCTTCGCAGTGGGCCTGAAGACACCACATTCTTGCAGATCAGTGCAGTGGATCGCTGTCCTAGCCAGCTCTCTTCTGTCTATACTGAAGGCTAAAAGCTCCCCTGGCCTCTCCTGCATACCCAGAACCTTTCTGTTGCTTGTCCCCCTTTTTTTTTTTTTTTCCATACTCTTACAGACTCCATGAGGAAGGATGTCAACCAAATCAGCAGAACCTGCAAAGCTACCACTGTGCCTTTGGAAGGCAAGACTCTGGAGGGTTGGAGCTAGGCTCGGCAGGGATGTTTGCAGTCACTCCTTTTTTCTCTCTGCATTTGCTGGACCAGGTGACTGGCATGACTGTCTCTCCAAAGGGAATTTAGAGTCTTACTCTACCGGATATCTGTTACTTCCTGGCCGTCAACCCTCAAAGGACACCAGTGAAATGATGTGCATATGAAGATGTCGTTGTGGGATCAACCTCACTGGAAAGTCCAAATAGAGAAGGATGCCCCCAGTGCTCTCCCTCACTGCTGGCCCCATGCAAATTCAGGCACAAGGGACATCCATGTCCAAAACACAGTGTGGTCTCAACTCTTGGGCACCAGGGTTTCCCAGCATTGGCCTGCCGTTTGCTTGGGCTGGCTGTCCTTCTCCTCTTAGACAGCCCTGTGCTAATCCCTTGCTCCTCGCTGTTCCTCCAAGAAGGTCTGTCAAGCACTGTCCCTTGAAAGGCACTACAATTTGTTTTATATTCCCACAGCCTGTCTTAGTTCTTTCATTTTGAAGACTTGCTATTTATGTCTACTTAAAAAAAAATTGTTTAGAGGTGTGTTCTTTGAATGGGTATAATTATTATTTAACCCCCCCTACACATTTTGCCATGGCTGTAGCTCTGCCTGGCTCCACCTTGCAGTACCTGTGAGCCCTCCCAGAATGTTAGTTGTACAGTGAGCAAAGGCTTCCTGAGGGCAGTGGGCTGGGCACACTCCCCTCCCCAGACTGAGCAGAAACTCTTGTGTTGACTGTTTCACAACTCCAAGTTAAAGACCTTGTTCAAAGGAAAGCGTCACCTGCCTGTTTTGAAAACCCAATGCCTCTGCTCTGCTGGTCCACCCAGAGATGTTCCAAAAGATGCTAGAACAGGAATACACTGAATTACATGTAAGGGGAATATGTGAATGATGTCAGATGTGTGAAGGACATCAGACGTCCAGTTGTTTTCAAGCCTCTGCTCATCTCCTTCTGGATAGATATTCACCTGTCTTTGTCCTCTGTTTTCCTCCTGTCCCTCTTTACACAGTCTTCTGACTCTCTGCCTAAACATCAATTCCTGGGATTCTAGTCTAAGTCAGATAGAAGGGACAGTCATAGAAAGATGGGGAGAAGGTGGTAACCCATTTTCTGGGATTTTCACAGAGCACTTGGCCACTTGATGCCAAACTTGGATGGGAAGCCATTTACTGTGACTCCTTTATAAATCTTTATTAAAGATCCCAAGTCCTGTCAATAGGCTATAAAAATTAGCCAAACCCCTAAGACCTGGTAAATTCTGACATTCGAGTATCATTCTATTTCATTGTCTCTTGTCTCTCTTTTTAAATATGTTTTCTGGACAAAAATGAAACAATGCTATTTGTCTAACTGAGATAATTACAATCTTCAACAAGATAATTAAGCAATTTGGTGTCAGATTTGGGTTGCTCTGACAGTTTGAAATGGCAGACAGGTCCTTCTGGGAAGATTTCACTGGAGTCCATCCCAACATGCAGTAGAATCCAATGGATAAAGAACTAAGTGTGGTTATGTTTCTACAGTGCACTTGGTCAGTCTGGTTTCTCTGAGGAGAGGACTCTACTTTGAGACAAAGCTCTCGTACAGATTGTCCAAGTCTGCAAAAGAGAGGAATTACTCCCTTACAAAGCCTGCTCTGCTTTATGAAAGGATGGGCGTCAGGCTGCCTTATGGCTAAGCCCTCGAGGAATGCCCACAGGAGCCCATCTTCTGGTAGCCCTTGTGGGTCATGTTACTTGACTAAAACAAAGGACACACACCTACCGACGCTGGCTCAGCCCATAGCATCTCTCTTGTGCCCTTTTTCATACCCTGGGAAGAAAGAAACACCCTGGTATCTTGAAAGAGGCAATCTGTTCATCCTTAAATTCTGAAGCCTTTAGGACAAAGTCAAAAGAGATTTCATTTGTGTGAGGAGGAGAAAAGAAACTAAAAGGCCAGGTTGATATTGTGGTTGATGATTTTAGCCTTGCCTGGAGGCTTGACATCATTTAACATGGAGGGGTAGGAAAACAAAGCATGAATTAAACCTCAGGAACCCAAGGATGCCTTCTCTCCCTCAGACAGAGAGGAGATGACTGTGGGCCAGTCTCTGGTCTGTGAGGACCTGTCCCAAAGACCCTAATTCTTCTATGCGTCCTTGCAGTTGTGGAGAGTTGAGGAAGGGCCAGGCAGCCTCAGCAACCACAGTGCCCTCCTTCCAAAGCAGGAATTTGAAGCCCAGCCCTGAGGGTCCTCCTCTTACCAGAGGGAAAGCCCAGGAAGTAGGACTCAGTGCCCCTCACCCACTGCTAAGTTCTTCCCTAAAGCTGCACGTTTGAGATGAAGGCCTCCAAGACATGACACAATTTGGTTTCTTCTAGGCAGGCACATTTAGGTCTTTAGATTCCACTCTCCCCTGACCTTTAAAATTGTCCCTTGCTTACTTTCACATTGTAGAAGATTTATATATGCTTTTTCATCATTGCTTTTGTAGCAGGAAGAATGGAAACTTCAACAACAAAAAAAATCATTCTCTTCCATTTCTGGGCCTCTTTAGTCTTGATCTGTAACCATAATCATAAATATCTAAATGGAGATTGTCATTCCCCCTTTAAAAAAAAAAAAATGGTGCCGGGAAAACACACCCAGCCCAAAACCAATTATCCTATTACATTTCAAAATAATAAAATCGGTCTGCCTAGAGACATTTCATTTGCTGCTTTATCTTAATTCCCTAAAGGGATTGCATCAAAATGTCTGTTGTAATTTAGCCAATGAATAGCTGTTCAATATTGTTTAAATATTTACTAGCCCTTTGAGGAATCTGCCTTTACCCATGTCTCCCCCAAATCAACATAGTTGACTCTAAAATTACCAGGAGGGGTGGTATCTTTAGTGGATCACAACATAGTTTGTGTGGATGATGGAGGGATGGTTCAGTTCTGCTGTTTGCAAGTTCCCAACCCATAGGCACACTAGTTTACTAATACCAGGTTTGAACAAGGGTCCATATGAAACACCTTCCATCCCAATTCCTTTTGACCAGGTGCCTTAAACTGTTATGTTGAGTGACTGTAAATGTTCGATTTCATTATTTGGTATTTTATTTGGCTGTTTTGACCACATCATTTTATAGCAGTGTATATATATATATATATATATATATATATATATATATATATATGACACTTTTTGGAATTTCTGTAATTACTTTTTAATTTTATTTGCAACAAATGATGCAAAAAAAAGAAAATGCGCTCATGGAGAAATGGCAAGTGTAAAAAAGAAGAGATTTATTTTGTGCAGACAGCTGAGCATCCTGTGTCATTACAAACATAAAGCACTTTGGGGGTAAAAGTAGAAACCTGTTTTCCATAAATCATGCAGACCCTTGTGCATAGTTCCAGATACTCATGTAGAGAAGTGAGCCGCATGTATCATACTGGATATGGGGCCGACTTCACTCTGGGGGCACATCTGGTGCTTATTGGCATAAATCTTTTAGAGAATTAGGTACACTTTTTTTTTTCTATTAATATGTATAGTTTTGTGATTTGTCACAGTTATGTTTTGTATAATCATAAGTTATTTTGTCTTGTTTCATTGAGTCTTTTCTTTTTTTTTTTTTTTTTGATGTCAAAAGTAAAATGAAGGGGACTGTGCACAGAATAACTGGAACTAGAGGACATGCCTGCCTGACCACCTCCGTTGGCTAGTCGCTTTAAACCCAATGGCAACCCCGTTGTTTGTTTGCTTGCTTTATTATTTTGTATTGTTTGGCCATCAGCCTCCTTCACATCGGGCATGGTAATTATAATTAAAAGCAGATGGGGGAGGGGGCTGTCCAAGACCAGCTTTAAAATGCCGTATTGCTTTGGGCCAGAGCTGCAGCCTGGATTTAATTATAGATATGAGGACAACATGGCAGTGAAAATGAGTGTCTCCCTGCATCCTTTACATGTTGGGAGTGTCCATAAATAAAACATGAAGTTTTATTTCATCAGATTTAATTAAAGCTTTTATACACATTTTATTGGTTAGTCTATTAATCTGCTTCACAAACTGGATAAATGTGTGCTTGGGTTTGGGATTTATTTGTGCCTTTTCAGTGTCGTACTGCATCATGCTTCAAAAATGCCTCCAGTGCTTGGGACTCCAGGTGACGACGGGGTTTCGAGACGTGGGTGTCATAGGAGTGGTCCTCTTCTGCTGCAGAGAACAGCACAATCGTCAGCTTCCCATGGGCTGATCCACTGACCATTAGAGTCCTTTGATTTCCCAGTGGTGGTGATGACCAAAAGGGTGGTTACCATTTCCCTGATTGCCCCGTGAGTGGTGCAAAAGGTTAAAGAACTCAGCTATCTGAAAGGTTGAAGATCAGAGTCCCCCAAGGGTGCCTCAGAAGAAAGCCCTGGCAATATATTTGCAAAAAATCAGCCATAGAAAACTCTACAAAGCAGTGCTCTCCTCTGAAAAGCATGGAATCACCATGACATGGAATTGACTCGATGGCAACTGTTTTGTTTTGGGTGGTGCCCACTCTGACTCATGAGCTGGGAAGAGCTCTCTCCTCCAGCACCCATCCCTGTTGGGAGAGGGAGATGGACAGAATATTCTCACACTGGCTGGCATGGGAGTCAAGCACGTGAATCTACCCTATGGGGCAGTTCTACTCTGTCATATAGGTTCACCGTGAGTTGAATTGACTTACGACACACAGCATTCTTTTTATGTACAGAACAAAAACAAGCAAAATGAAAATATAGAGTTTAGTGGTAAAAGTTTAAAGAACAGTAAGGAAAATGCTACCTCAGAGATCAGAATACTGATTAACCCTGGTGGGGAAGACAGGGCACATAGATGATGGGACACTAACTGACAAAGTTTTGTATCCCGTCCCAAATGATGGGTTATACAGGTGTTTGCTTCATAATTATTTAACTGTACATACCTGT